TGTAAATCGCTTTGATCCAATTAATAGCTGGCTAAAAATTAACAAAAGTTGTGCATATCCACAGCTTTGTGCTTCCGCCAACATCGTGTACATTACAGAGCTTGAGTAACTTGCTGCTCACTGCTTATGCCAACGCACAACGCCTCATAGCTTCTTTGGTGGTTCGTCGACCAGCAGCCAAGGTACTTCAAATATGCAGATGTTCTGGTACTCTTTCCACAATTGCGGTACCAAGCATCAGGCAATAATTGGTCTCGTTTCTACCGATTTCTATCAACTTAAGTCATATTTAAGTTAATCGAAGGTCCCAGAGCAGAATACAACTGTTTCATAGTTAGGAACAATCATACTACAGTTTCAAACTTGTATACTAGCAATACAGTATCGTGCGCAAGTGCAAGAGATTTTATGCAGATGTTACATGCTTGCTGTAGTCTTAAATTTTTTCGTGCTGGTTGGAACACATAGTCGAGAAACATTGCAAACTGCTGAGGCGATTCCCCTAACCCTTACGTAACTCCGAGCTTCACACGAAAGAACTTGCATATGGTACAATTCTGTGTTGTTCACAAACTTTTCGCGAGGTTGAGTCAGGTTGAGTCTCCAGGTTGAGTCAAAGCATTTGGTGAATTTGTGAAGATTGACAAAGTTTCAAATTTTATTATCTCCTCTTTTTTTTCATTAGTTTCCTCAGTGTGAACTTCTTGTCCAAAAGTTTTCTGTCTACCCTGAATCCGGACTGCTCTTCATCAAGGATCTTCTTAATACGTTGTCTAATACGTTCATCATAAAACGCATGAACACTTTAGCACGAATAGATAGTAGCACCTATTCCACTGCAGGTTTCTGGATCAGTGCACCAGTTCTCTTAAATATTGGAACAACAATTTCTTGCGTCCAATCGGTTGGGATCGATTCCTTCAATCATGCTAATGGAAAAAGATTTATTAATCGAAACATTCCATTTGCTCCAGGCTGCTCAATTATCGTCAGACGTTTCATCATTTCCCCACAACTCCGCCATTTTGAGTTGGCTCATGTCACCCACACCTCCTCAACCGGCGTTTCATTATCAACGTCGGTTTTTGTCCAGGTATAATAACACACTGTGAACTCTGTTTCATAGTCACATCAGGGTTGAGCAGCAATTCAAAACGTTTTCCCATATCTCAATGACTTCTGCAAAACCGGACGTGATATTACCGTTCTTTCTCATAACGGTTATTAGCCAATGCATATTTTTGTTGAAGTCGCTATGTATTACATTGAACAAGGTCTTTCATTTATCGCTTTTGTCTATTCGTGTCTTCCGCTATTCCTGACAGCCTCTGGCAGAAAAATACAATTTCGTTCCCCAGTGATTCTTCAATTTCCTTTTGTATTTTTCTCCT